ACTCGATGGCCCTTGTGGTCTATTCCAACTCTATGATTCTATGATTCTAGTTCAATCCCATAATTTCCTTTATTCTGCAACACAAAGTGACTATCATCACTGTTAAAAGCAGTGGCATCATCCTTTGCATTCGCTGCCTCAAATGAGATCAGTAAATGGTTCTACCTGTTTGGTGATCCAATAATGTAAACATCAGGAATCTAATGGTTGATGCAGCTGTTAAACAGCTGCTATGATATGCTTAGTTCATGAAGCGACTCTGCTTGTTCCAATATACTGCACCCAGGCACATTAGATACTGGGTGTAGGAACTACAGTGGGACCTTGGTTCTCAAACTTAATCTGTTCCAGAAGTCCGTTCCAAAACCAAAGCGTTCCAAAACCAAGGCGTGCTTTCCCATAGAAAGTAATGCAAAACAGATTGATCCATTCCAGACTTTTAAAAACAACTCCTAAAACAGACATTTAACATGAATTTTACTAACTAACAAGACCATGGATCCATTAAATGAAAGCAACAATCAATGTCCTGCACTATAAAATAAATAAGACAGTATTGTAGATGATAAAAATTAAAATATTTTTCCCCCTTACCTGCACTGATGTCATTGTTTGGATGGGGATCTTTTATCCATTTCCACAGTCACACAATCAATCAGTAGCTGAACTGGGTTCCACACAGTCACAAAAACAAATTAACCGAAAAAGCCTCAAAAACAAAAACGCAAAATAAATAGCAAAAACAAATCCATTTGACTTCTGAAATGTTTGAAAACCAAGGCATAGCTTCTGATTGGTGCAAGCACCCTGGAAACAATAGCCAACAGCTGCATTGGACGTCCAGTTTCCGAAATTCGTTCAAAAACCGGAACACTCACTTCCGGGTTTTCGGTGTTTGAGAACCAAGGCATTTGAGTACCAAGGTACCACTGTATAAACACCAGAAATGAAAGCCGATTCTGGATTTCAGCTCTGCAGAATTTTATTACCTCCCCTTACCCTTGGAGACATGATGCTAGGAGACTGTTTCTGCCATGGAAATCCTTGCTCAGGTCCTTGCTGTTGTAGAAGCTGTCCACTATCACAGCTACAGATTCAGAAGCAAACTGGGAGAAGCTGGCTGGAGACAAAAAAGAAAACATTTAGTTTCTGAGGCATCAAAGAAAAGGCAACAAGGTAATCCCCGCATCTGGAGCCAGGGCAGGCTCAGGCCCATGACGGCCCAGCTGGTGTTTGTTGCAGGGGAACCTGTGCAGACTGGGACTCTTCAGGATCAGGCCCCAGACTTGCCCCAGACTTGGTTCAGATGCCGCCTGAGGCAAAGGATCCGGTGCGGGCTGAGACTCCTCTAGCTCTGAGTCCGAGCCCGAGTCCCAGGCCATCACACAAATAAAGACCCTGCCCTCACAATGCTGACATAACTCTGCAGAGACGTGAAGCAAAGGAATGAAAGAGGGAGGAAATTCTTCGAGTGAATCCAGAGAACCAATTGCATATCAGAACTTAAGACAAGTCCAGCTGGATCAAGCCAAGGTAAAGGGACCCCTGACCATTAGGTCCAGTCGTGGCCGACTGGGATTGCGGCGCTCATCTCGCTTTATTGGCCAAGGGAGCCGGCATACAGCTTCCGGGTCATGTGGCCAGCATGACCAAGCTGCTTCTGGCGAACCAGAGCAGCGCACGGAAACACTGTTTATCTTCCCGCCGGAGTGGTACCTACCGGTATTTATCTACTTGCACTCTTGATGTGCTTTCAAACTGCTAGGTTGGAAGGAGCAGGGACCGATAAATGGGAGCTCACCCCGTCGCCGGGGATTCGAAGCACTGACCTTCTGATCGGCAAGTCCTAGGCTCTGTGGTTTAACCCACAGCGCCACCTGCGTCCCTTAGGATCAAGCCAAAGGCCTGCCTAATTCAGCAGCCTCACTATGGCCAACTAGAATGTGGATGTGCAAAACCCACAGGCAGGACAGGAATGCGAGAGCATTCTTTCAGCATTTGTGACTCCCAGCCACTGAAATTAGAGATCCATTGCCTCATAGTGGAGGAGGCAGAACACAGCCGGCCTGGCTGGCAGCCATGGATCAAAGGGATTGTATGTAAATATCACCCAAATAATATCCCACAACCCAGCTGAACTAGCAAAGGCACTATGACTCACAAATATCACTATGCTGAATAAATATTTCACTCAGCACATCTCACACTCGAGGGACTGGGAAGTAAGAGGAAGGAATCCTAGGGACTTTCCCCCCTCCCCACAAGGAACAGACTTACAACCTCCGTTTAAAAAATCTCCAAGAATGTTAAAAAACCGCAAGCTAGCAGGCCCAAGAAAAATGCTATTAACAGGAAGAACAGAAGGGAATATTTGGTCTGGTTTGCATTTTAATTTCCATTTTAATTTTAATTCAAAACCTAAACCACACTCCCAAGAGCAAAATGCGAGCTGAAACATTAGTAGCCTTCAAAACTGATATGACTTTCTCTGAAGGGGAAAATGTGTACACTAATACTTATTAAGTAAATGCAAGCCTAAATATACATGCACGTTTACAAACCGATACAACAATTCATTATATTGCTGGGCTCATATACGAATGCTCACCTAAAGCACAATTTCCAGAGAATACATTGTGTTCAGGAAGCAGGACCTGCATGTATTTAGAATCTATTTTGGTTATCACAGTTTCAGTATTACACACTGTTTTGAAAGTCTTTAAAATTTCAGCCGCACACATGGCGAGTAAAATATTATATGGAAAGTCCCACCATGACACAGTCACCGGAACAAAGTTCTCTCAGATGACCTTATCTGACCACACTCCCCCCCTCTCCTCTTTGTGAGAGATTCGATATTGCCACTAGGTGCCAGTAGAGCACCCGCTCAGAATAATGCACACTGTTATAAATTTGCTGATACATCACTTTCTGCAGTGCATGAAATTTATGAAGTTTTAAAAAACGGTAAAGTTTTACTTCAGCAAATGTTGTTGTTGTTGTTGTTTTAGTCATGTCCGACTCTTTGTGACCCCATGAACTAGAGCACGCCAGGCACTCCTGTCTTCACTGCCTCCCGCAGTTTGGTCCAAACTCATGCTGGTAGCTTCGAGAACAATATCCAACCATCTTGTCCTCTGTCGTCCCCTTCTCCTTGTGCCCTCCATCTTTCCCAACATCAGGGTCTTTTCCAGGGAGTCTTCTCTTCTCATGAGGTGGCCAAAGTATTGGAGTATCAGCTTCTACACCAATATTAATAGACCATGCAGTGGCAGGTATAAAGTGGGTGGAATGTGTGAGTTTCTGCATAGGCAGGGGTGACTTTCCCGAGGCACTGTGCCTTTAAGTGAAATTACGTATATAGGGGAACACCATTGGAAAAGGCCTGCAAACACCCTCTAAACCTCTGGAAACTCTTGAAAACACAGCATTCCTTCCCAATTTCTTCCTCAAACTTCAACTCTCCACTGGTCAGTGCCAAAGGCTCCTGGGATTTTGCTTGCAAAGGCTCCTGAGATTCCTGGACGCCGGGTTTTCTGTGCCATTTCTGCCTTTTCAACACTCTTTTCAACCGGTTCCCTTCCTTTCCGTGGACACTTCTGTTTTCTCAAGTGATCGCACGGCATGTGGTGCAAGTCACATCGTTGACCTCCAAAATGTGCATCAATGGGGACCTTGCCTGTATTCAGGAAGCTCAGTAATAAAATTGGGGCCGAAGTCAGTGGGTAGAGCATCTGATTTGCAACGCTGGGTCAACCCCTGGGAGAAAATCTTGTTTGAAACCCTGGTAAGCCAATGGTAGTCAGGGGTCAACGGATACTTGAGCTGGAATGGACCGTGTGTTCCACGCTGAAGTGGAAAAAGAATTTGTTTTCCTGGACGCATACCTTTGGGAGCTTGGGACACGGGTGATCATTGGTGGGTTAAACCACAAGAGCCTAGGACTTGCTGCATAGCAAAAGGTTCGGCGGTTCAAATCCCCGGCGACAGGGTGAGCTCCCGTTGCTCGGGATTGCCTGCTCCTGCCAACCTAGCAGTTCGAAAGCATGTCAAAGTGCAAGTAGAGAAATAGGTACTGCTGTAACGGCCAGTAAAGCGAGATGAGCGCCACAAACCCCAGAGTCGGTCACGACTGGACCTAATGGTCAGGGGTCCCTTTACCTTTTACCTTTGGGAGCTACCTGCAATCAAATGGAGAAATTCCCTTTAACCTTTTTACTTTGGAGCTACCTGCAATCAAATGGAGAAATTTCCTGAGTACTGTAATTATTAACCGTCTTCCCAAACATTTCCACTATTGGACTTTCCCACAAAAGGTGAAAATATGAACCAATCTAAACCACACCCCTTCAAATTACAGCACTACAGTCTGGACCTATTAGATAAAGCCTTGCAGGTGCTTTTCGATAGCAGAGCTTTGGCCTTTTTCAAGGCACCGTATAGAGGATATGCACAACCAGACATTACCAGATGAGTCAATGTCTGCTGCTGTTGGCTGACAAAGGGGGCCCTTTATATAACAAAACATTCTCCAGGACTTCATTAGCACAGAAAGTACTTCCTCCCAATAGGGATGCAGGTGGCGCTGTGGGTTAAACCACAGAGCCTAGGGCTTGCCGATCAGAAGGTCAGCAGTTCGAATCCCCGCAATGGGGTGAGCTCCCGTTGCTCGGTTCCTGCTCCTGCCAACCTAGCAGTTCAAAAGCATGTCAAAGTGCAAGTAGATAAATAGGTACCGCTCCAGCGGGAAGGTATGTGGCGTTTCCGTGTGCTGCTCCAGTTCGCCAGAAGCGGCTTAGTCATGCTGGCCACATGACCTGGAAGCTGTACGCGGCTCCCTCGGCCAATAAAGCAAGATGAACTGCAACCCAGAGTCAGTCACCCCTAATGGTCACTTTACTTTTAACTTCAGAACTTACTGTGCAATTTTGATCTTGTAATCAGTTGAAAAATAATTGAATCATTTTTATTTTCTACTCAGTGCTTTAAGTGTAATGTATGTCTGTTTTGTCATTTTAGCATGCATATTATAGCAGAACAGTGGTGCTAAGGCTACTTGAAAAAAAATACAAATCTTTGGTAAGTCTGTTTTTTCATCAGTCAATATCCTTTCTCAATACAAGGAACAAAGTACATATCAATTACAACTGAACCAAGACATATCTTAAGATACTACATACTCCTTAATTGATTTTTGTTTATCAATATGGCCATTTAGGAAGTTCAGTTTTACATTCTAAATATGATGTTCTGCAGAGACTTTATAATTTACCCTACTGCCTGTATATACTTCTACCAACCCAAAATTAATGTGAAAAGGGTCAAATGCAAATTTGCTAATGATGTGAGTGAAGTGAATCTTTATTAATAGAGGGAATTGTGTAATAGGCATTTTCTGTGAATTTTGATATACTTTGTTGTTTTATTCGTCAGATTATTGCATCTGTTGAGCAGTGTGTTTCCTATCTTGAAACTTGTGAATCAGTGGTTGATAAAACAGGCAGGTTTAATTCTTCCTCTACATTGCATAATGGTAAGTAATTTTTCCATATGCTGAATAATATATATTTATTTGAAGTCTTCTTTTTTGCTTACATTTTAATAAAATATGTAGCAGTGTTCCAGTAGTGCTTTTTATGACAAATGTTCAGAATATGTTCTAGCTCAGAATTTCTAAATAACATTTCAACTGTGTGAGGCTTCCCTTCCACCTCGAAATGGAAAATCCAATTTTTATTGGTGGTTGCATTTTTTGTGATCTTGGCAGTTTTCTTTATAAATACATGATAGCATGTGATTGCTTGGACTCTAGTATACAAGAACGAAGCAAGAGACAGCACAGGTTTATTGACATGAACTGTCTTGTCTTTCAAGGTAATAAACAGAAGAATTTTTACACTGGAAAAGAATTGCAGTATATATATTTTGTTCATTCCCTGAGCCTCTTAGGAAGATTGTTGATATATAAACAAGGCAGAAGACTTTTTCCTATTCAGCTGAAAAACAGAAAAGGTAAGTGCGTGTTAAAGAACATAGAAGCATAGAAACATGACAGTGTGTTCTATTAGGGCCATTTTTCTAATGCTTTTTCAGCTTTGGTTCTTGTTTTTGTGGGAGAAGGCTTATAGGTAAAAAAGAGATTGTACAACAGGGTGTAAATTATGTGGCGTAAATTATGTAAGCAGGACAGTTATTGGAGTGCTTGGTGCATTATCCCATGCTGCTCTATATAGAAGGATCACACATAAATTCCTGTCTCACTATTTTTATCTGGATTTTTAAAAACCTATTTATAACAAAACTTTGTTGTTTTCTGTAACAGTGGTGAAGCTGAGATGTTTATCAAAACTAACATAGTGACTCGATTTGGGCATAATGCTAAACTATACCATGTGCATAGTGCAGTGTAAACAACCTTCGGTTCCTGCACTTTTATTCTCTTTCCTTCAACCCATCTTTCCTGAGGAGGATTCAAGGAAGCATGTGTTTTCTGTTTTCAAATAACTGGTGTTTATTGTTATGTCCAAACCTTGGGAGTGAAGGGAAGTTACCAGATCTGCTAGTATGCCAGTTCACAGATTTGTATGGACACATCTATTGCGTGTACCTGTGGAAAAATGGGGAAATTAGAATACTGCTTTTGAGTTCTTTGCTGGAGACAATGACAGGCACGCGAGACAGAATTGCATTTTATTGGAATACCTTGCTTCCTTTGGGGTAGTTATCATGGCTCAGTAATAGAACTGATATCAATGGAACTGGAACTCTGGTTAGTTTAAACTATAGGTAAAGGTACCCCTGCCCATACAGGCCAGTCGTGTCCGACTCTAGGGTTGTGCACCCATCTCACTTAAGAGGCTGGGGGCCAGCGCTGTCCGGAGACACTTCCGGGTCACGTGGCCAGCGTGACGAAGCTGCTCTGGCGAGCCAGCACCAGCGCAGCACACAGAAACGCCGTTTACCTCCCCGCTAGAAAGCGGTACCTATTTATCTACTTGCACTTCGGGGTGCTTTCGAACTGCTAGGTGGGCAGGAGCTGGGACCGAAAGACGGGAGCTCACCCCGCCGCGGGGATTCGAACCGCCGACCATACGATCGGCAAGTCCTAGGCACTGAGGTTTTACCCACAGCGCCACCCGCGTCCCTTAAACTATAGTTACTTTAAACTATAGTTAGTTGCAATAAGACAGCATCGAATCACAGTTTATGATTCTCCAAACATGGCATAGTTTAAATTAATCAGTTTCCCTAGGTGGGATGCAACAAAACTCTAGGTCGTTTAACCCGCAATTGTCTATTTTCCACCTCCTGCTGTTGTATTGGAAGAGGAGGGTGAGGACAAGCGCCTGGGGCTCGCTTGTACTTATTCATGCAGCGCTGACTTATGGTTTTTCCAAGGCAGGTTGGTTTATGGCTATGAAGAAGTACACATTATCATCTTACACAATTATCTAAATATTCTTCCATCTGTCCTCCTTGGCCTGTGGCTGTTACAAAAAAAGTTTGATTACATTATTTTCCAGGAGGGAAAACATGAACCCAACAGTTTATTTGACATTGCTGGAATAGCTCTACCAGTAATAAATTAAATTAAATGGTTTCTGTCTGTGAAACAGTTGGAAATGGAAGAAAAGCTACAGCAATTTAGCTTAAATTTGTATTCAGGTATTCGTTTGTTGTTCCTAATTAAATTATAAGTAACATGAAGTTATTTTCCCCATTCTCATTTTTGTAGATTTGATGTCCTTGACAGACCTTGTCGTAATGTTTACTCGTCTTATCTATTGCGCCCCAAATTGTCCAAAGACTCTTACAGTGCATTCAGGTAACATTGCCCTTTATATTTGCTCTGTTATTCTTTAATTTTCTTCTTTGTGAATAAAGGTTTGTTCACTTCCATATTTCTTAATCATTTCTGTGTCTATAGACACCATGACATCATATTTAAAGTGAAAACTGAGTGACTCTTCCCATCTGATGGGTATTTGAAGTGGTGGGCTTGGCAAGAGGGAAGAAATACCGCTTGTTTCTTTTCCTTTATCTGATTGTGTTGCTCACTCTGTTGTTCTTTACTATTTTGAAACAAGTCTCTTTTTATTTGTCAGGCAATTATTCTCCAGCAGGCCTTATTACTGATGTGCTCGGAATTCTTTGTGAGAGAAAAGAATGTGCAACTGAATGTCTATATACTAATACAGTGATAGAAGCACTTCTTCAGCCAATACATTATTTACTGAATGGAACAGAGGTTGGTTGTATTTCCTTCAAATAAACATGAATAAAACTTAATGTAGAAAAATGTAATGGCTGTGATCCATTTAATTGTCAGGCACAATGTGGTCTTGCATATAACTAGTGAATGGAGATGTGCATTGCAAAATAGTGAGAATTGCATTGGGGACATTGTGTCTATGTATCTATTTCAATACAGCTGTGCACACCACAGTGAAATAAAACATATTGTTGACTGGGCTAAGCTGTAATGAATTACAAGAGCCAAAGTTAAAAATGGAGCTTGGGATTTGTGGGGAAAGGAGACAGGGAAGATTATGAAGAAAGCTGCATTTGATGTAAGTCAAGGGCAGCTAACCTATAACCCTCCAGTTGTTGGATTCCAACTTCCATCATAAGGGATGTTGAGAATTATAGTCTATTGACATCTGGAGAGTCATAGGTTTCCATCCTTGTTTCAGTAAGAGAAGGAATGTGGAATTGGCATGCTAGTCTATTTTGGAAGTTAGCCCCATCTGTTTCTATTTTATATTTGAAATAAATGTTAATTCATTTTGAAAGGACTTTGGATTCTTCTGTTCTTCTTTGTCAGTTAACATTTAGATTTATCCTCACAGCTACTTTTAGCTAAATACAAATCAGCAGTATCATTTACAACTGCATTGTTTTTTTTAAAAAATCAAAGCTCCATTGACATAAGCTGGATTATAATGTAAGAATTCCTCAGTCTTGTTACATTAATTTGCCTTTAGTTACACAAGGTTTGTAGACAAAAGTCTCTATAAAACATTAATCTTCAGAGTTTTTAAAATGTTTGTGCAGGTGCATCTAAATTCTCCTGAAACAACTCTAATACATATAGCCGATATTTTGGCAAGGATTGCTGCTGCAGATGATGGTCTTTCACTCCTACTCTATGGAGGAGAGAAGCCCTCTGCCATGGAGGGTGGTAGGTAAGAGAATGTGTTTTAAAAGAACAAAAACAGTGTTGTGAAATAAGTTCTTTTATCTCATATCTAATTAGTTGTATATAAGTCTTGAGAGAAGCTTCCATGATTTGAATTATAAAATGAACAGCTTGCATGTTTTGTTGTTTATGCAAATGTACCTAAGGAGATAGCTCCCACACCTGTAGAAAACAGTCTGCATGCAATACCTGCATGCAGTACACTGTAATTTTCATGTTATTTCTCATTAGTCATGCTTTTGTTTCTTGGCTTAAAGTATTACTGCATTTGGTTGTAATGATAAACTATGATTTCTTTTTTTTTTATATAAAATTTTTATTGGTTTTACAAAATTTTTAAGAAAAACAAACAAACACTAAAAATGACAAACATACACATATAGTTTCAAACATATTTTCATAAACCTCTTTTCTTGGACTTCCCCATACCCCCCTCTCTGCATCCCAATGTCCATAATTCCACTAGCAACTCCCAATTGTTACTTTCCAATCTCTGTCATCTTAGTCCTCTTTTATACTTCTAACCTTATGTCCCTGAACCCCTTTGTTTCTGGAAACCACAACATTTTAGCATTCATTAAGTTTATAGTAGTCCTTAAGATAACTTTTAAATTTTTTCCATTCTTCTTCCACCGTCTCTTTTCGTTGGTCACGGATTCTGCCTGTCATCTCGGCCAATGTCATATAGTCCATCACTTTCATCTGCCATTCTTCCAGTACCCAAGCCTGAGGTTTGTTGACGTAACAAGAAATCATAGTTTATCCAGACTATCAAGAAAGGAAGTCTGGATAAACTATGATTTCTTGTTACGTCAACAAACCTCAGGCTTGGGTACTCTCACCTACCTTCTCTCCATAAGAGGATATCAGAAGGTTTCATTTCTGTTTTAAACTAACCGCAATTAAACATTGTGTCTGAACCCAGACAAATGTAGAATTAACTAATGTTTACTGTTTACTGAATTCAGTGACAAACCTTGGATTAATGAGGTTGGCTTATTCTTAACTACAGTTTATGATTTGGATGTATCATAAACTGTGGTTAATCAGCAATCAAAGTGGAATGCTTCCATCTCCAGAACATTCTGGAGAAGGTGGCATGTAAGAGGAAATAGTTAAAGGAACATATTCCCAATTAAATTGAAGATGTGTTTCTGCTATCCTGGGAAATGTGGAGATATGAAAATTGTGTGCTTCTCAGAATACATCACCCTGAGCCAGGTTGCTCTGTCTTAGAAATGAACACAAACATTTCTAAATAGTTGAGATCATATCTATTTAGCACCTGGTATCATTGATTATGTCCTGTGGGTTGATATAAATCATATGTAAAACTAATGGAGTTCTTAAAATAAAAAAAAGAATGTAAAAAGGAAAAACTTGCAAATGCAATATCACTTTCCTAACAAAGAGCAGCTATGGCAAAGGGACAGATCTGCATTATGACCACAATCCAAATGAATTGGGTGGGAAGGTGGTGGTGCAGGGAGTTATACAGCATCTTCCAACACTATGGTTTCAATATGGATTGGGTCTTGCTGTTGCTTATTTGTTAAGAAACAGTCCTAAGCATGCTGCTCAAAAACATGGTGGATGTGTTAGCTTCACTAAGAATAAAGCAGTTTTATAGGTGATCTCTGTGGAAGGGGGAGAGAAGCCTTCCTACTTTGTTTTGCTCATTTTTGTTCCCATCTTACATGGGAAGATGATAGGCAGTAAGTCTTTCTTTAGGCCAAGTCTCAGCATATTGTATAAGCAGAAGAAGGATTAACATTTCAATTACTAACTGAAAAGCTTTATTTCATCATAATACTGCCAAATCAATAAAACATTGTTTTTTGAAATGTTTTATTCTTTGTAGCCTTAGGGGTGCACATACTATCGTTCAGTTTACAAAGAAGCTTCTTGATGAAGACATTTCTGTTCTTTCTGGGTCTGAGATGTTGCCAGTGCTCAAAGGTGCTTTCATCTTTGTATGCCACCAGATGTATAGTACTTGCGAAGGCTTAGAGGTGTTGCTACCTTACCATTTACATGGATCTATTTCTGAGGCTTGGAAAAAGGTAGTCCTATCCTTGTTTATACAAAGTATATGTATAGAAGTTATGCAAAGGATGTTTATGTTTGCTTGTGTGTGCATCTGTTCCCAAAGGGTACTTTTTATGCTGAAAATGTAATGTAGTACAGATTTTATCATGGAAGTGGCACCTTAACATTATAATATCCCAAAGATGATTATTAGTTTTCCCCTCTTTGTAAGAAGTGTAGCAAAGAGGGAGGGGGAGTAGCAATTTCTCTTGGATCCCAACAGTGTGCATGTGTACAGTGGTACCTCATGTTACAGACACTTCAGGTTATAGACGCTTCAGGTTACAGACTCCGCTAACCCAGAAATAGTACCTCGGGTTAAGAACTTTGCTTCAGGATGAGAACAGAAATCGTGCAGTGGCAGCGGGAGGCCCCATTAGCTAAAGTTGTACCTCAGGTTAAGAACAGTTTCAAGTTAAGAACGGACCTCCAGAACGAATTAAGTTCTTAACCCGAGGTACTGCTGTAGTTAAAAAATAGGCAGGTCTTGTCCTCTCAGGCTGTGGAAAATATTGCCAGTATAGTATACAGATGTGTACATTCTAATTTATATTATATGTGAAATAGGCTTGAATAGATGTTGGGAGCTTGAAATATTTTTTAAAGTTGGCAAGTAGATCTGTTTGTTAATCTTCATTAGTCATGAAAAGTCCAGTGCTGCATTTCTTGCATGCATTGCTTTTGGTTCCAAGAGTTACATTAGAAACATTCACCAAGTAACTTCGTGATGCCCATAAGTTGGTCAGTGCCCAGCGCCCCACTATCACACGGGTGGTTGCTGCTGCAGCTGCTGCTTCTCACCTTGCACATTTGCAAGCTAGTTTATCTGGTGGTATCAGGATTTATTATTAGGTTATTAATGTAAGTGGTGAAGGATCCAAGCATCCATTTGGCTCTCTGGTGCATTGCAGTGTTGCTGCAATTGGGTAAAACCCACTTGGAAGCAGGTAGCGGGCAGGTTTCTTTAAGAGGCATATCTGGCGGTGGCGCTATAATGGTCTAGGGAACTAGGCACCCACCATCACCCCTGCACACAAGTGGGTTTATCAGACAGCAGAAACAGCATTGTCATTACCACACCCATTGCAGGAACCCCACCAACATTGGCCAAGCAGGGTTGACTGATGACTGCAGTAATGTCACTGCTGGGATCCAAAATGGTGGTAGGCACTCGGAGACAGGCCCTCCGACAATCTGCAGATATGTCTGCCCTTAAGATGTCTCTGATGCTTAATCAAATATCCTTATCGTACTATGTTGTTAGCGATCATAATTTAGATTTGCTACTGTTGCTAACAGTAAATTTATGTGATTTGCTTTTCATTTCTGACAGACTAGTTTGCTTTCGGAGAGAATTCCAACGCCTGTCGCGGGGGCAGATTGTGTATCATCAGCAAGTCAAGAATCACAGAGCTTGTAAGTACTAGTTTGGGTTACCTGCTCAGAGATACATGAGAAAAGTCCTCAAAGCTGCAACATGGGGATTAGGTAACATTTAAAAATGGGAAATCTTTCTGATAAAGCTGTATTGCTGTTACCAGGCAGAGGCAACAGCAAAGTTCTGCATGGGAATATAAAATACAGTTTAGTGGCTCGCACAGCCTCTTGCTTCCCTTTCGCTTTGCTTGCTCTGTCTTCCTCACTCCCTATTGTTTCTCCCATTTCTCCTCTTTGATTTCTGTTTCCTTTGTCACTTGTCCTGCAGTTTCCCCATTTCCATCCCTCCCCTCTCATTTGCTTTTCAGCTGTCCAGTATGTTGTCACTTCTGCCTTCATCAGCCCTCCGTATTTTAGTCTTTCTCTTCCTGTCAGCTACATCTGCTTCCTCTTTTTCATCTGCCCCCATCCCCGTTCTGTTTACTAACGTTATTGTTGCTTTTCTTGCTCCTTTGTTTTCGATTCTTAACACATTCAGAAAGGAATCTTCACAGTGGCTTTTTGACATCTGTTGTGCAAGCCTCACTTGGAAAAGGACCTGGGTGAGGCAGGCATATGGTACATGAGATGCAGTTTCAGTGGTTGGGGTGCAAATATGTCCACTTTTAGGGGGCCCCCATTTTTTCTACTTCTGCATAGCATGTAGTTCTCCTGAATATGAACATCTTTCCTCTTCTTTGGGTGTGTGTAGCTATCAGCTTTCACCGCTGAATGTTACTATTATAGAGATAATTATTATTTATGTGGTTTCTGCGTTTTCAGAACTTGTGAATTTCACGAGTCAATACAGTGCTTCATACTTTTTATTTTCAATCATCAGTTCCCCAAGTCTATATTCCTAGAAATGGGAATCTGGCATATTATTTTTTCATAATGATGACATGTAACATGCAAATTGAAACAGGCTATAAATTTTGTTTAGCTTTTATAAGCTGTCATTTTTCCATGCAAGATGTATTGGCCAAGGCAATGAAGACATCACGGTTTATGGGTATATATTAATTACGATTGGTTTAAATCATTTTCAACAGGCATTTTTCTTTTTTGTAATGTCAGCATCCACTGACTATTTATAAAATGAAGTGAGTTATTTTACTGTCAGACTATAAGACAGCAATCACTTTATTTTTAAAAATATGTTGCTTACAATGATAATTCCATAGAAGAAAAATCTAGCAGCATATAAATGCATTTTTAAAAAGTAAGCACTGTATAATATAAAAGCACGTTTAATAGCTTTTGAAGCGATATTTTTAAAGTTTTGATTAAAATGTAATTGATATATCAGCTTTCATGTGACAATTTAATACCTAACATGCCTAAAACATACAGTCATGGGAAAAAGAAAGTGACCCTCTTTGAATTCTGTGGCTTTACATATGAAGACATAATAGCAATCATCTGTTCCTTAGCAGGACTTAAAATTATGTAAATGCAACCTCAGATGAACAATAGCAAATGGCATATGACACTGTGTCATGATTTATTTAACAGAAATAAAACGAAAATGGAAAAGCTATGTGTGAAAAACTAAGTACACCTTATGATTCAGTTGTTTGTAGAACCACCTTTAGCAGCAATAACTTGAAGTAATCATTTTCTGTAGGACTTAATCAGTCTCTCGCATCGTTGTGGAAGAATTTTGGCCCACTCTTCTCTACAACGTTGCTTCAGTTCATTGAGGTTTGCTGGCATTTGTTGATGCACAGCTCTCTTAAGGTCCCGCACAGCATTTCAATTGTATTGAGGCCTGGACTTTGACTGGGCCATTGATTCTATTCTTTTTCAGCCATTCTGTTGTCGATTTGCTGGTGTGCTTGGAATCCTTGTCCTGTTGCATGACCCAATTTCAACCAAGCTTCAGCTGTCAGGCAGATGGCCTCACATTTGACTGTAGAATACTTTAGTATACAGAGGAGTTCATAGTTGACTCAATAGCCACAAGTTTCCCAAGTCCTGTAGCTGCAAATTAAGCCCAAATCATCACCCTTCCAATATCGTGCTTGACAGTTGGTGTGAGGTGCTTGTGCTGTGTTTGGTTTTTGCTAAACATGGCGCTGTGCATTATGGCAAAACATCTCCACTTTGCTCTTGTCTGTCCAAAGGACATTGTTCCTGAAATCTTGTGGTTTGTTAAGATGCAACTGAACTAATCTGTTCTGCCATGTTCTTTTTAGAGGGAAGAGACTTTTTCCTGGCAACCCTTCCCAGCAAACCATACTTGTTTCGTCTTTTTCTAATTGTACTGTCATGAACTTCAACATTTAACATGCTAGCTGAGGCCTGTAGGGCCTGAGATGTAATTCTTGGGGTTTTTGCAATTTGAGCACTACAAGGTCTGATCTTGGGGTGAATTTGCTAAGACATCTACTCCTGGGAAGATTGCACCTGTCTTGAATGTTATGGTTTTCCACTTTTGAATAATCTTTCTCACTGTAGAATGATGGACTTAAAATTGGTTGGAGATGGCCTTAGAACCCTTCCCAGTTTCATGGGCAGCAGCACTTCTTCTCTAAGCACTTGCTTCTCTAAGAGCACTGTGCCATATTTCCTCCTTGGCATTGTGTTAAAACACACCTGAATGCTCCAGACCAGAAAGCTGCTAAAACTTTGGCTTTTATAGAGGTGGGCACACTTACTGATGATCAGTTAAGCAAGCACATTTGATTAGCAGCATCTGTCTGCTACTTGGCCTCTTAATTCCTATGGAATGCAGGTAATGGTGTACTTAGTTTTTCACACATTTTCTCTATTTTGGCTTTATTTCCGTTACATAAATCTTGACATGGTGTAATATGTCATGTGTTATTGTTCCTCTGAGGTTGTATTTACCTAATTTAAGACCTGCTAAGGAAACAGATGATTGGGAACAGGGAACGTGGGTGGCGCTGTGGGTTAAACCACAGAGTCAAGGGCTTGCCGATCAGAAGGTTGGTGGTTCAAACCCCCTTGACGGGGTGAGCTCCCGTTGCTTGGTCCCCGCTCTTGCCAACCTAGCAGTTCGAAAGAACATCAAAGTACAAGTAGATAAATAGGTACTGCTCCAGCGAGAAGGTAAATGGCATTTCTGTGCGCTGCTCTGGTTCCCCAGAAGCGGCTTAGTCATGCTGGCCACATGTCCCGGAAGCTGTACGCCAGCTCCCTCGGCCAATGAAGCGAGATGAGCACTGCAACCCTGGAGTTGTCCGCGAATGGACCTAATGGTCAGGGATCCCTTTACCTTTAAGGAACAGATGATTGTTGTTATGTCTTCATATGTAAAACCACAGAATTCAAAGAGGGTCACATTCTTTTTCCCATGACTGTACTAATATATAAGAAATTTGTGGTACATTAGTAGCCTCAAAATGTGTGTGTGTCTCACTGAATATAGGTAGCTTTTGGATACCTATATCAATATTAGAGATACTCAATAGTTCAGATTTCAGTTTCTATAAGAGTTTTTCCCCAGTGAAGAATTCAGTTTTAGAGATGGGTATTCCTAGGCGGGTCTCTGTATGCTCTCTTCTCATTGGATGATTCTGTTGCTCTAGTGTTTCTTCTTTCCAGTCCTTTCAGAGTGGTGAACAAAGTTTGGGTTAATAGTAGATCCCTTGCTGGTGCAATGCTTGTTTGCTGCAAACTGGTTAGCCTACTAAAAACCAGCCTTGGGAACAGGCATTCTCATTCCCACTCCAACACCGATCTCACCTGTTTCTCTCTCCTTGTCGCCCTTAATAACACTTTTCTGTTACATCTGTACAAATGCTAATCATGGGTAGTGTTAGCTAGACTTACCAGAATATCACATAGATTTGCTAAAAACTGTATTAAGAAGGAACCTGGTTAGCATTAACTAGGGTTAGTGTTGGAGCAGGTGTAATATTAGGACTGCCTTCTCCCACAGATTTTTTGTACGTCAGGATCATCTTCAGGTGCCCTTCTCAATGTACCCCCACAATTTCAGGTTAGGCATATGACTTCTATGATTTTACTGTTCCGTTCTTTCTGTTGCCTTGTATGTGATTTTTGTGTTTAATTGTTTTACATGATTTGTAATACTGAAGGACGAGGTATGCATATTATGTAACTGGCCACGTTCAGATAATCGAACCACAGCTTAACGAGTGAAGATATTCACAAGCTTCATGTATCCACATGTTGCTTCTTTGCAGAAGTAAACAAACAAGCTGAGAAGCTGTAGTTAAACAGAGCTTCATTTTACATCAGAATCAGGAAGGTTGGTTAGTGGCTTCTAAAGAAGCCAGGTTCTGAAAAGCAAGTGTAAGTAAGCTTTAGGTTTTGGCTCATTTGGAATCCATTAATTATTGAAAGTAATGGGAAAGTAATGGAAGTTATGGTTGAGTATTGCTTCCTAGCTTGCTTCTATGTTCACATGAAGGGGGAGCAAAGGGCCTGCCTGCAGGTTACTCAAGATTTGATCATCTGAATGTAGCAATAAATGATATTAAAATGTAATTAAGGCAAACAAAGGAAGGCAAGGGTTGGGAAGGGAGTTGGTATTCTTCAGGCTGCAAATTTGCAGACCTG